GACCCACCAATCAACTGACTTAGGTCATCTGTACAGTTGATCCAATCCTTCCTGTTCAGCTGTTCATTGAGTTCCATGCCCCGTTATTTTCTCCTGCTTGTCTTGCAAATGTACAAACAGTTTATTTATTTAAAACAAAACGGCTTAACAAATTCCACCTACTCTTTCATTTTTAGAGATAACTTTTAACAGTCAGCAGTACTTGGCATCTATCAAAGAAAACTCCAAACTGGGCTCCCTTGTCACAACAGTAAGCGCCAACTCATTCTTAAGCTCCAAGAAAATGTATTACCAGTTGTTGACCGAGAATCTCCAAACGCCCACCAAATTTACCATTGAGCAAAATTCTGGCAAAATCTTGGTAAATGGTGCGTTGGATCGGGAGAAATCAGCTGATTMTCTTCTGGAAGTGACAGCGAGGTTCCAGAGTGTAAATGGTTCTGGAACTCCTGGAAGCCTGGCGAGGACCTTCGTAATCGTAAATATCTTGGACGAAAACGACCATGCTCCGATCTTTGTACATCCGTCCTTCTACATGAAAATCCCGTGTAACGTGACTGTTGGGAAGATCGTATATCGGGGCGTGCAGGCCAGCGACAACGACTCAGGAAACAATGCAAAAATCAAGTACAAGTTCCAAACRAAAACATCATATTTCGCTATTCTACCAAACACCGGAAGAATTAGACTTCTGAAGAGCCTCAGACGCTTCTGCAACTCTGTTCCCGCCAAAACCTTCAGGTTATCGATTCTAGCACGTGATCAAGGCGTGGTACMCAACATGGCGCATGCGTGGATTCAGTTTCATGTTCTGCCTCCAGGAAACTTGTCTCGAAGTGTGGCTCTGATTCACGCGAAGTTTCTTGATCCGGCCAAAACTGATGACACCTTTACGAGGCACGTGCGCAACCCATGGCAATACCGTCATCGGAAAGGAAAATAATAGAAACACCAACAGCGTGTAGTAGTAGTGCTTGACTAGAATGCATGGTACTTTGACGCGGAATAGAAACAGAAATCTTCCAATACTAAGACAGAATGTAAGTTTAGGTGGTATGCACTAAGTGATAGTAGGATGTCGTGAGACAACGAGATAGAAATATGCATGGACAGATGCAGGGGTTCATTATGATAACGAGCATACGGTTGGATAGAAATCTCTAAGAATGGAAAGGTGGGCAAAGGATTGTAGTTGGGATATCGGATGGATAGATGAATGAAGAAATATACAGCTATTTCAAAAAGGTTGGTAAAGATTTTGTCGCATGTTGCATCATGCCTGAAATGCACTATGAGTGATGTGAATACAATCAGCAAAAGGTCACAACGATATGGAATTTTACCAACATTTTACCATATTTTTTTCTGTAATGACATATTTGCGAATTCAACATGCAACATGCAGCATGCAACAAACCCTTAGTCAACGTTTTTTGAAATAGCTGCAGACGAAAACCGTTGTTTCGTACAGCATATAAGAGAGAGAGAGAGAGAGAGAGAGATCAAGAGAGATCAAGAGAAGAAGAAGAGAGAAAGAAAGAGAGAAAGAGGTGTCTTCTTTGTGCGTTATTCTTTCTTCGACGTTGGTATTTCTTAAGAAGAGTTCATGAATAAATATTAGGAGAATAACATAGATAAATAAGCTGCCAATTAAGTACAGAATGATAGCGGAGATTTCTTATMTAAGAGACAGCAGTGTTGCAGAGTTTAAGGGTGTTTTGAGTAAAAAATGTATAGTTTTCAATGCAAAATTTTAGATAGGGCGTAATGTTTTTCATCCCTAGTTTTTATGGGAAATAGAGTGCTTGAATGCGTTGCATGGCTGTTAATCTAGTTTCTTAAGCAAAGTAAAGAAAGGCACGAAGTGTTCAAAAAAACTGTTAGTTGTCTGACATACGACTGAGGACATTACGCTTAAAGGAAAGGAATGCAAAGTCTCGGGGCTTTCCATGTGCAGTGAATTAAGAAAGAGAATAAGATAAGGTGTCAGCTGAGAGTTGTATAGTATACAAAGTGTAATTAGCTGTAAACAGAAACTTATAAGGGAGTGTAATTAACATTATACATAACCGTGCTCTCGGAATATTCAGATATGCAAATTAGGCGTTTTGATACCATATTTGGAATTTTGAGTTTGGTTTCAATATGGCCGCTTCTCGCTGAATTTCCTGACTTTCAGAGGAGATTTAATGAATCTTTTTAATCGAATATTTGGGATATCTGCCTTTAAGATTTGGTTTTGGGAATTTTTGAAGCATGCAAGAGGACGTGAATATTGTTGAGTATTCCGAAGCATAGTATAAAAGAAATGCATGGCTGTTACACGTTTCAACCCCTTATGAATTTCTGCTGTAAATAGATGACGTGCATTAAGATGTAGTAATAATTAAATGGCTAATCTTTCTTTTTCTTGCAAAACGAGGCAAATTCATTAAGAGTCTTTATAATAAAACGAAATATTCATTAGCCCTTTTTTAAAGGAAGGGAAATAGAAGAGTGTGATTGGAGAAGATGGGAAGATAAAGGAAGGGAAGATAAGAACAGGAGAAAAGGGAAAAGTAGAGAAGAAACAGACATTGGGAAGGGGAGTGGAGAAAAAGGGAGAAAAGAAAGAAACGATAACTAAAAGAATGGGAAGGGGAAAAGGGAATGGAAATCAAAGGGAAGGAGAGGGGAGGAAAAGACCTTTTTCGATTCCCAAATTACTGTACCCTGCGAGCAAAGTCGGTAAAGGAGACTGTGCTCGAAGGGTAAAATTACTGCTGTGTTTTCTTGATTACAGTCTTATTTACTCAGGCTTAACCAAGCGGTATCAGTGTCAAAATATTCACATATACCAACGGTAAAATAAAGAATGACAAAACTCGACTAATATACCAATATTCTCAATCTATATATTGTGTGTTGAGTGTTAGATTCCGAAGAATAGCGCAGAATTTGAAATTCCACTGGAACACATGAATATTGAATTGGAATATTCTATATTTGCTGAGATAATTTTCGTCAGGGATATCCCCCATTTCAAATTTTCAATAATCGTTTGGTTGTAGTTTTACAAGCCATTTTCTCAAACCAATTGAAGACAAACATGCAACTTTAAATTGTGGCAAACACTCAAGTTTTGATTCCTTTTATTCTGTGTAAATTTTACACAATACATCCTTGTACTTATATACATATATATTTATATCTCCCTTAATCATTCAGTAAGGAACTTCAAATAACAACTAAACAAACTTAAAAAAGGTACAAAATGAAAGCATCAATCTACAATGAGCTTTTCTTTAAGCTCCTAAGGAATCACTGAGCTGGTCAAGGCAACTTTACCTGGAGAAATGTAAAGAAAATTATGTTATGTTGGCACTGGGGAATAATATAACTAGATTTTAAAGAAGAGGAAAGTAGGAGGGACTGCGCGAAGGCCTCCTTAATGTCAATGCAATACTTTGATATCAGTTGGATACTGCATTCTTAGCAGTTATCGTCCAGCATAGCTCGGAAAGCAGGGGATTCTGGGGAGGGATGAGGTAAGATGTCTTAGACTAATTACCTTTGTATGTAACAAGCTTGGCTTGAACTACTTGTGTTTGCCGCAGTTTGATTCAGTGCACTTTCCGGTGCTGGTACAGTATAAACGTAAACAATGGCTCCTGAGGCCGCAAGGACAACCGACTTTTTGATGGGAACAAGCAGGGCAGATAGACGCTGTAAACAAACATAGAGATAAAATGTTATTACCAGGAATACTATGCTCCACGATCGAATGTTTATGAAGAAAAGTCTGCCGGTCCTCGTAAGATCATCTGCTTTTAAATATTTAAGGTGCCGATCGATCGCATCTTTTTGAGAGGGAAGGGTAGACTATGGATACTATTTTGAAAACAAACCTTGACCCCTTGCACACACACGTACATACACACATACACAATCAAGGGCGGATCCAGCCAAAATTTTAGTGGGGGGGGGGGGGGGGGTTAATTGAATTTCTTCCGTCAACACAACGGAAAACAATAAAAATAGCATCTAATTCTTCAGTTTTGTTTTGTTCAGCCCCCCTTTGCTCCCCCCTCCCCTGGATCCGCCCTTGACAATGACAACACTAATATTAATTTTGAACCCTCTCTCTACTGTAGGATAGGGTCAGGTAGAATAGAACGTTGTTTTGAGACCCTAAGTAATATTAGTAACTATGTGTATTCATACTTTGGGACTTTTCTAAAATAATAGAGTAATGGTGCACTTGTTTGAAGGGAAACATCTTTGGATTAGGAAGGGTTTGTTAATCTAACGTATATATCTTATCCTTACGTTCCCTTCGCTCCAAAAACAGTTCTAGCATCCTCTCTGCTGCGTCTGGAAACAAGTGAACAAATAACAAAGAATGAAAGACCAAAGTTTGTCAAACCCTCACATGCATTATAAATATATCATGCCATGATAATCATTGATAAGGGGAGATGAACTGGAATAGCATTAACAGTCACCGGTTTAATTTGGATTAACTAAACACTACAAGTACGATTGGGTAGTCATATAGGTCTTTCTTTTGCCAAAATGAAATAAATGGAATACCTGATTCGCTTTCATCATCAAACTGCCACAGACGATTAGTAGACCTTGCTTCCAAGGCCAAGGCAGCTAGAACCACCAAGAGAATGACAAAAATGGCTTTCATCTTGGAGTCGTTATGTCTACGGTAAGAGTACTTGAAACTACAAAATAACGAAAATAAACTGCTTTTACTAATCTCGTTACGAAGCACTACATCACTATACATTATTATATACGGATAATCATTTTACTCAAACGGGCTGGCAGGCCAAAACTAGATCTAACGCAGCTAACTAACCACAAGACCTGCATAAAACCTAACAAGCAAGCAACGTCATAGAAGGGATTACCCCAACTTTACTGGGGTGTCATTAACGCTAGTTTACAAATAATGTAAAAAATAAAATAAATAAATAAATAAAT